TATTAATGATGGTGATTATAAGAATGGTCGAGTGCAGAAATGGAGTGTAGAAACAAGTACCTTTGTCACAGTGATGAATGTCAACTCAACATGTTATGGCTTATTTGTCGATATCAATGATACTCTTTACTGTTCAATGCGTGACCATAATCAGGTAGTGAAAAGATCATTAAATGATGCTGTGATGAATTCAAACGGTATTGCTGCTGGAACAGGTAGCCCAGGATCAGACTCGAATCAACTCGACTATCCTTGGGGAATCTTTGTCGATGTAAATTTGGATTTATATGTGGCAGATAGTAGGAATGATCGAGTTCAGTTGTTCCAATCGGGCGAATCAAATGGTATCACAGTAGCTGGAAGTACATCACGATATCCAACAATTACACTTAATCGTCCCAGTGGAATGATATTAGATGCTGAGAAATATTTATTCATTGTGGATCGAGGCAATAATCGCATTGTTGGTTCAGGTTTGAATGGTTTTCGATGTTTAGTTGGATGTTATGGACAGGGTTCACAATCCAATCAAATGTCTGTTCCATCCAGCTTGAGCTTCGATGGTTTCGGAAACATGTTTGTTGTTGATGATCGGAATATTCGAATTCAAAAATTTTTACTAATGAAAGATTCTTTTGGTAAGTTGAAAAAAAGTTGAACAGAACGAAGAGATGTGAATAGATAAATAACAGAAGTTAATAAAGACATTTAAATATAACAAACGAAAGACAACAAAAATGCTTGAGAAAGATTAATTAAATCAGTGTGTAAAAGAATGTTTCTAAGGAAACGAAATGTTCAGATTCTTCAGATTAGACAGGGCTATACGTCAGTCGTCTAAGACAAACAATCTTTCCCTTTTTGTTCAGACTAAAGAATAGAGAAAGAAAAAGTTCTATCCTTACTGGAATGGTAGAAAGGACTTTCATGTTTCATTTCATGTCTCAACGAATATTTCATTAATGAAACAGTTTTTATCGAAAAAAATCTTTTTATATCTTTGCCGACATAGTTTTAATATAAATTATTGTATGATTTGACTTCATATTTAATATTTCGATGTTTCATTCAAGAAAAACAGGACAAATAAAATATCACAATTTTAACAACTATTTTT